GAGGAAGGAGGGGGGAAAAGGGAGACGGGGAGGGAAATGGGAGGCGGGGAGGAGGCGGAAATCTTTTTTTTTCAATAAAAAATTATATTTAAAAAAAAACTATACAGACATTCATAAAAAATGGATGATGGATATTTGTCTTTGTTTAGAATGTTGGTTACAAGTTTTTATGGATAATGGGCAAAAAAAAAGCTAAACGAAGGAGATTAAATTCAGAGTTATTGTTTTTTTTAAAAAAAAAATAGAAAAAGTACATTTGGACAATGGTCTTGTTCTCTGTAAAGATTTGTCACTTGTGCTGTTTTAGTAAAAAGTGTTGTGGGACAATGAAAAAAAAGAAAGAAAGAAATAAGCTTGGCTAACTCATAAGAAAAAGGTAACTACGACTATCTAATCTTCAACCCCATCGAAGGCCTGAGAAGGGAGATAATAGTACTTGAGTAGACAGGAGATGCAACCAAGCAGCTTCCAAAGCGAGCAGTAGATAATGGAAACAATTGGCTACCTGAACAATCATCCAAAGTCTCATTCGCAACATTGAAGCAACCAACTTTGGCTAAAGCCTAGCAACTGACAGACCATTTTCAGAGGAAGGGAATTTTTCAGAACCCTCCTACCTTGTCTTGACAAGGTTTGGCAGTTCTTTTTCTTGTCTTATCCAGTCAAGTAACATGTACTTACAGCATGGAGCAGGTTGGTCTTGACCCCACAACATTCCTGCTGTTCTGCTCTCTCCACTGCTGGGATTATCTATTTGTCCTAAAATTCTGATACTAATTATGATCGATTTTCTCCTTGGTCAAACTAAAGCAGTTTTGTATTTAAGTTTTGAAGGCATGCTTTTAGAGCTAGTATACCTTCACATCTAACCCACCAGGATGATGGGTGGAGACCTTACATCTTTACCATTTTGATAAAAACAAGATGTTGTTTTCCTCAAAATCTTCACTGGAATGTCATCTGAGCCACAAAGAAAGTCTCCTAATTCAGGCTCCCTCATCACAATGCCCTCAGAGGACTATCTGATTGATTCCACATCCTGAGACCTTGTCTTCTTTGCAGGATATTTGATCACACTGTGAACTCCAAGATTCCTTATGAACTGGAAAAACCTGTTTTCAGTTCTAGTGTGATTCAATCCTAGCACACACATTTAATCCAAGGACTTTCAGCTTGAATATTGTAAAAAGAATTAAATAAAGTCAACCACAAGTCAAAGTCAGGTCAAGCAACCAATAGACAGGAAAAAAAAAAAAAAACAGAGAGTAAGAGGGAGCTAGGAGGATGGATGGAGAGATTAAAGAGATACACAGGAAGTAGAAGGGAGGGACATTCAGTTAGAGGAGTTTTGTTTGAGACAGTGCAGGAGAAAGGTTTTTGGGGGGTTTTCTGTGTTTTGTTCTTTTTTTCTCAGACATTGTTGAAGGAGGAAGGTCAGTTGGATATTTTCCCTGCCTCTTTGATCTAGCAAGTTTTCACCCCAGCATCTAGTTCCCAAATCTTTTTTTTTTTTTTAACCATTGAGATTTAGTCAAAAACATTTGTCTTCCTCTTGTTTCCACCTGGAAGAGGGAGGAAGATGTGCCAAGGCAGTGTTGGTCAGTTCAGCTGCCAATGGAAGCCGTAGCTTCTAAGGAATCGTGTCATCTGGAGAAGCCACTTTAGTTTAGTGAGTCTTCACTTGCATAGGAATAAAATGTGGAAAATTCTGCTCGTTTACATTTCTAAGATTTTATGTTTTCAAGGACTTACTCATTTTTCATTGGTATATTTTCATATGATACCAATGAGGCTTTATAACCTGATCAGTGTGCAAATCTGTACTAATTTTAGACTGATCTGTTTTAAATGTGTATATGAATGTTTTTGACCCACGCTTGAAGTGGCTTGGCCTTATTGAAACAGAGAGCAAGGGTTGTTTATAGTGTCAGAGAGGATTTTATAATTTTGCGGACTTAGATAAACCACTGCCTCAAATTCCTAAGCTTACAGTTTATGACAGTTTCAGCTGAAGATAGCAGAAACTCAAATCCATAATCCTTTATATAGCAAGGAAGTTCTTTTGCTACAAAAAAATGGTTCCATAATTGTGTGATTTTTATAAAGTAATAAACAGTGCAAAGAATCCAGTTCTCACCTTGACGTTACTATCACTCTAATTTAAATACTAAAGAGAAAATATTCACTTTTTAACTTAGGACTCTCTACTTTTTGTTAGAAAAGTTTTCACAGCCATACACGCAGTAAATAAATTAATTAATTAACAAGTAGATCCATAAACTGGATCACAAGAATAAAGATCTGGTTAGTTTTAGGAATGTTATTTGGACCAAGATCGGTGTGTATCTCGCTTACACCAACAGGACGAACATGTTAGGCTTTCTTTAGTGACATACGGGATAGCAAATAGTTCAATTGGTGACAACTGGATCATTCTGTTAGAAAGTCCATGGTTCCCTTGCAATTAATATGTGGTTTGAATCCTGCTAATTCAATTCCATGCTGAAATACCCAGCAACTCTGCCACTTTTCCACTAAGAATTACATCATGTATTTGTTGGTAATTCTTGGTTAAGCAGTGATTAGGCTGAGGTTTATAACATGCTAATTGTTTAATTTTCTCACCACTTCTTTATTTATTAGCATTCTTCTATAATGACATGCTCTTTTCACACATTGAGTATTCCAAGGTATCAAAGACAAATTTCACTGGTTACGGTTAAAACAAACAAAACGCTATCGAAGACATTCTAATAGGAAAAGGGGGCCCAAGACTTAATCTAGCAGATACAAATAAGAAACCCAGATCCCCCGAAGTTTCCAGAGGAAAGAATTTGACCAGAGATGCATGGTTAAAAACAGAAACAAAAATCAAGACAGATTATTGAGAAAATGAAACGACTCTAGGGAACAAGAGTGAGCAAGTGAGCAGATGGGAAAACACAGTCTCAAAGCTCTAGACCATGAAACCATGGCATTTCACAGATAACTTACACAGCACCACCTCTCCCACACTCTCCCCGCTGACTAACGTTCATCATGTGTTCTCTCTCCAGCCTCTGTTCCCCCGCTGCACAGTGAAACCAAAGCTGGAAGATAGAAAATGCTGAGATGAGCCAATGGAACTACAAGGTGAGAGAAGAGGTTGACTGTTGGGGACAATCACCTCTGCTCACCAATTTTCATTTGTAGAATTATCCTAGCAGACTTATATCTCAAAAGAGGAGAAAAAGAAGTTAGAGTTTCCCAAAATCATGTTTTAAGAAAACTTTAGATGCCTAAAGTCAGAAAGAAAGTTACCTCAAGTTTGAACTGGATGACATTTTAGGGGCTAAGGTAGTATTGGTCATGCTAAACCGTGTTTGCCTTTGTGTACCATAAATAGCTTTCACCTGCAAGACCACTTCTTGGTACAACATAGCTGCTGGATTTCAAGCCGTTGTGACCATTTGCCAGGCACCAGTAAGCAAAAAGGGAAAAGGGGAAACCAATGTGAAACAGGTTCCTGCTTTTCCCTTTGGTGTATTAGACTCACTTTAAAATGTCTGATGTGTAATTGACTGCCCTCTCTATATGAACAAATGAAAAATGCAGTTATTCAGCTGAGTCCATTACTACCCGGGAAAGTCGGGGTTCTGCTACTATGCTTTAAAATGAAAAGGACCATTGAGAAGAGAAAGGAGGTCTCAGACATACTGGAGAATATACTGTGTGTTCCACAAAATAGAAGTATTGTAATAAATAAACTCAATGAATTCAACTTTTTCAGATCTATCATGCTTCATGCTTTGCTTTATTATGAATATATCACAAGTTTATGCTCCATACTTGTCACTAGTAGCTATACCTAAAAATTATACAAGCTTTATATTTTGGTGTTAATTATATTTAACACAAATGAACACATACAGTACATACAAAGTACCATTTATTTGTTGAAAATTTTTAAATAAACCTATCTTAAAAAAGAAAAAAAAAATCTATTTAAAGACCTGAACTTGCCAGTCAGTGATGTCGACCATTTCAGTACAAAAAAGACAGATGCAAGTAAGTCTTTGTGAGTTCAAGACCAGCTTGGTCTATATAGCAAGCCAGCCAGGGCTATACAGTTAAACTCTGTCTCAAAAAAGCACCTATAATATGTCAAAATGTTAAAAATCATGTTAGATGTTTTGAGTCATTGGCCCTTATTTTTCCCATCATCTAGTTTTGGTGCTTCATAAAGAAAGAAATCCATTTTATGAATCTAGTAGAAAGAGTGCTCAGTGAACGACTTTCAGGTTTTATCCATCCTGACCTGAATCTAATCAGGACTGAAGTTCCAGAACAGACGTACCACATGTGTGCAGAGGTGCTGGAAAACATCAAACAATGCCTAAAAACCATGTCTTTCTCTGTGTATTGCAGCACAAACTGGAAGAAAATTCCAGAACTCAAAACATGTTCCTGGTTATAATGGGCCAACCTGCAACTGAAGTAAGTTTTCACTTGGTGCAGTAGGTCCTAGTTTAAAATTAGAGTGGGGATAGATGTTGCCACTTTCTATGTAGTCTAGAGGCATCTCGACGGAAAGATAAAGCACATATATTTTCACAACCATCTTTCTCCAGGTTTGTTGTTTATTCTCATCTGACAACATTAATGGCACATCCTCACCATGGGTAGTTTTATTCCTAAAGAACACCTAGTCCAGAGTTTATAAAATAACCACATGTGAGCTTACCTAAATAAAAATTGTTGTTATACTCAACCAATTTGTTCAACTTAATTCTTCTTTGAGTGCATAAGTCAAAGAAAATTGTGATCAGGCCTAATTATTAAAGATTATATTAATACATGCAAAGTTCTTCACTAAAATTTGTATCTCATCTTAACTTATTAAATAAAATACGCCTAAGATACCTGCAAATAAATCGGTCTGTGAATGGATATCATAAATAATATGCAAACTCCATACAAGTCTATTTGTAGACTCTGATGCATAAGCAATAATTAAATACCATCTAATAGATAATTTATTATTCAGTTGTATAATAATGCAAGATAAAAGAATTTGACCTTAGTTATTCTGGAAAGAGCCTTAATTTTAAAAAGAAAATTTCCACCCCTTAAAATGAACGTACTAAACAAATGTGCTTTATTAATTCTTGTTTCAAAAAGCTTCCCCCACATCAATGTGGAGGGCCATCCTACCACACTGTGTCTTATGGAAGCAATTACCCATAACAATGGCCAATTACATTAGGCTAAGAGGAAAATCAGGAGGCTTCAATCTGAAAACAAAACCTGAAACTGTTAAAATGTGTTCTTTCCTTTGAAAATTAAAAGACACCTTATAGACTAATATCAGTAGTAGAAGAATGCACTTTTAGAACTTTCTTGATCAACTAGATCTAAGGAGAATTTAATCACAGGGGCAAGTAAGATTTTTCTTTTTCATGTCATTTATTCCTGGTATAGAAAGACATGTCATATAAGACGTATTGTACTTTGACTATATTCCTGAGATGGGTAGGTAGTTTTTAACCCAGTCACTGTGGATTCTGTAAAGTACTGCTTCTCTGACTGACAAAAGAGATTGCCTACTTTCTCATATCATTCTGACAGAACACAGCAATGATACAGCAGTAGCATTCATGGGACCAGAAACCAGGACCTCTCACAGCTGCTGGTCGGAGTAGAGAGTGGTCACTTCCAGAATAGTGAGTGACCTCACCCAGCCAATGCCACTCATAACTCACTTTCCTTCCTTCCAGGCCTCCCATGGTACATGTGGTTTTCTCATCTTCCTTAAAAGGCTAACTAACAGCAACCATCTCATCAGGAAGAGTCCAAAATATACAAAGAACTCAAGAAATTGGTCACCAAAAGAACAAATAATCCAATTTAAAAAATGGGGTACAGACCTAAACAGAGAACTCTCAACAGAGGAATCTAAAATGGCTAAAAGACACTTAAGAAAATGCTCAACATCTTTAGCCATAAGAGAAATGCATATCAAAACAACTCTGAGATTTCATCTTACACCTGTAAGAATGGCCAAGATCAAAAACACTGATGACAACTTATGCTGGAGAGGATGTGAGGTAAAGGGAACACTCCTGCATTGCTGATGGGAATGCAAGCTGGTACAGCCCCTTTGGATATCCTATGATGATTTCTCAGAAAATTAGGAAGCAACCTTACTCAAGACCCAGCAATACCACTTTTGGCTATATACCCAAAGAATGCTAATTGTACCACAAGGACATGTGCTCAACTATGTTCATAGCAGCATTGTTTGTCATAGCCAGAACCTAGAAACCTAAACGCCCTTTGATTGAAGAATGGATAAGGAAAATGCAGTACATGTACACAGTAGAGTACTACACAGTGGAAAAAAATGATATCTTGAAGTTTGTGGGCAAATGGATGGATCTAGAAAACATCACATTGAGTGAGGTAACCCAGACACAGAAAGACAAATATAACATGTACTCACTCATAAGTGACTTTTAGACACACACACAAAAAAAAAACAGCCTACAATTCACAATTCCACAACAACACAACAAAGAGGACCCTAAGAGAGACAAACATGAATCTAATCTACATGGGAAATAGAAAAAAACAAGAGCTCCTGAGTAAATTGGGAGCATGGGGATCATGGGAGAGGGGAGCAGAAAATAAGGAAAGGAAGCAAAGAAAAACATATAGTTTAATTAAAACAATTTTTTAAAAAAGCAAAGTGGCATAAGAAAAAAAAAGAGTCACTGTTAGTACAGGCAGCCTGCTATTCAGAGCCTTCCTGTTGGTCATGCACTAATATGTGTTGCAATTTCATATATAATGCTTCACACAGATATACAATATTTCATTGTAAAGATGAAGAAATTTCTTCAACAAGACAGGAATTCTAAACCATGTCTACCTAAGGACACAATTTATACCCTGCCAATCCTGCAGCACTGTTGGCCATTTTAAAAACACTGGATATGAGAAGGCTTCTTCTTCATTCTTTTTAAACTAAAGTTTAATAGAATTTGTCATGCATCTGTACTGGTTGAAGTCTTCCAGTTTATAGATTGAATGTGAGGTAAACATGGAAGTCCTTCCAACATCTGACTCAGACTGAGAAGCCTATGGAAGTCTTCCATTGCTAGATAAATACCAGAAAGCTGTCTGAAGGTAATAGATGCCAAGCACTTTCGAACAAAAAGAAGCTAATCTTCTGCCTAGCCTCGGGCTATGTAAATTTTTCTCAGGTGAATGTGCCAAGGGTAATATATACTATAAACTGACAAATCATTTTCCTGGAACTATGCTTTGCAATAATTCTTCCCCTCGTTCCTTATAATAATACCTTGGAGAGCCAGAAGTAACAGGGTTTAAATAATGTGGAGCTGTGTGCAATAGAGGAAAATATGTGGTGCATTTCAGTCAAATGCATGAGTTTCATCTTGTCAGAAATGAACCCAACAAGCTGTAACTCTATGTTGTGTCAGAACAATAAATATTGGGGCTTTATGTGTATAGAGTGACTGAAAGTTCATGCCTGAATAAACACACATAATGCTTGCTCCACAGACTTTACTTCTGAATTCCCTTGCTTCTTGTGACTTTCAAGTAAAGAAAAGCATTTGTATTCACTTGGGACTAAAGATCAAAGAAGAGTTTGTCAACTGCTTGTAGCAAATGAAACTCCAGTAAAGAATGACCCTGTTAGTATATATACTGTAAATCAGTCAGGTCACAGGACTCCCCGAGATTGATTACAGGTTCAAAGCAAGAGAGAGGATGAAGCCAGTGCTGAACTCTAACAGTCACTAGCGAAGAAAGAACCAGGCTCTGTCTGCTGACTTTTAAACAGATGAAAGTATTAGACAAAATGAATACGTGTTTATGTGTCATGCTAGCATATAGTGCTTAGTTTGAGGGCAGGTAAAGCTCAATGCTACATGCTTTATAAAACATTGCAGATATCCAATTTCTGTCCATGTGCAAGGCTCCCTGAAAGTACTACCACTCTCCTTCCCCATCATGAAGGAAATAAAACTCAGAGAATTTTTTTTGAACCAGTAGTAGTGAAATCAGTATCCCCCTGGCACAGCAGGAGT